GGGTTCTCAATTCTATTCCATTGATCTATGTGTCTGTCATTGTACCAGTACCATGCTGTCTTAACCACCATGGCAGTGTAGTAGGATTTGAAATTAGGGAGTTAGATGCCTCCTACCCTTTTTCTATATTTAAGAAGTGTTTTGTTTATTCGGGGCTTCTTTCCATTCCAAATGAAACTGGAACTTGCCTTTTCCATCTCATTGAAGAAACATTAAACAATGTTTATGGGGAAAAAATCTCTAATTCTGAAGAGATTGCCTTCATGGGGTTATTTTTAACTATGTAAAAATTCTACGTCTGAGGTAGATGAGTTGTATTTTATTGCACAACAAAAGATAGAATAGTTTAAGCTAGTCTTTCACTAAATTATTTTCTAAACCACAATTTATATTCAGAAAAAGAAATAATAGCATGCATTTTAATAATTCCAGCAGCTATCTGAACAACTTTATTTAATGATCTAATTTTTATCCTAAAAATCCTTAACATTCAGTTGTTGATGATGTTAAATGCTGCTTAGTGGGGCATGACACATAGCAACCCGGTGAACAACACATGTGAACCCTGTCCTGTCCTGTGCCATCCTTATCATCTCCGACATATTTGAGCCCATTGCTGCAGTCACTGTGTCAATCCAATTCATTGAGGGTCTTCCTCTCCTTCACCAGCCCTCTGCTGTATGTAAAATTAAGCTTTGCCATTTTTGCCTCCAAGGAGCACACTGGTTGCATTTTTTCCACGCATATGTTTGTTCTTTTAGCAGTGCGTGGGATAGCTATTCAGTACTCTTCTGCAATATCACAACTCAAAGGCATCAATTTTTCTCCTGTTATGTCTATTCATTGTGCAGCTCTTAGATACATAGCAAGTGATTGAAAAGAAACTGGCTTGAATCTGAAACATCTGCGTCTTCAGACGGACATCACCGCTCCTCAGTCCTTCAGAGAGTCCCCTGACAGCAGGCTTTCCCAGTGCAATGTCATTTGTTTTCTCAACTGTTAGAGCCAAGGGTATTGATTACGGATCCAAGCAAGACTAAATCATTGACAATCTTTTCTCCTTCTATCCTGATGATGCTTACTGACCCTTTGGTGAGAATTTTTTGTCATCTTGATGTCAAGCTGTTCATCCGTAATGAAAACTGCAGTCTTTAATCTTCTACAACAAGCATTTCAGGTCCTCCTCACTTTCAGCAATCAAGGTTATATCATTGGCAAAATGCGGCTTGTTAATGAGTCTTTTTCCTATCCTGATGCCACCTTCTTCTTCTTGAAGTTCAGCTTCTCAAATTATTTTCTCAGTATATGGATTGAAGAGGTATGGTGATTGTTATTGCTATGTCCCATCAAATCATCTGGTTTCATCCTCTCCAGGAATAGGTACGGAGAAGATGAAAAAACTAGAAGTTCAAGGGAACTGTTCGCACACATTTGATCTAGTTGTTGATCTTTAATGCTAACACAAGAGGGCACTCCTTACCTCTGCTAAAGGTATGTTGCATTCATTTGTATCATGCCTTTGTGTTGTGGTGCTGGAGAGGAATATTGAACATACCATGGACTACCAAACAAACAAGTCAGTCTCAGAGAGGGTGAAACCAAGTTTCTCCTCAGAGACAAGGATTTTGAAGTTCCATCTTTTTTTTTTCTATAATTATATTTTATTAATTTTCATAAACATTTACAGAGATTTTGGGCTTCCACTCATTCATTGTTGCACTATTCTCTCTACCCTCCTCCCAGTTTGTTCTTGTCCAAATGCCACAGTGCTTGTCAAAGCCAGTTCTGATTAATCTTCTTTGTCAGTGTATCCTTTGCCATTCCCTATCACTCCTCCCTGAGAGAGACTTCACCCTGAGTCATAAGGAAAAGGGGACGGCGTATTCTCTTAGCTACTTCCTGCTGAAAAGGGACGCTGTGGGTTTCAGGGTGAAGATCTTCTCTCACTACTCTAAAGGGCCCCTTTGGCAGTAGGAAACACATAGACTATTATGGAGATTGATTTTCCATCTGACAAACTTTGGGCATGTTGCCACAAGATACCAGTCCTTGGAGAAGGACATCATGATCGGAAGGGTGGAGGGACAGTGCAACAAAGGAAGACCCCAGATGAGATGGATTGATACAGTAACTGAGGCAATGAGGTTTGGTGTGTTGGAGTCAGCGAGACTGGCTCAGGACAGGGCAGGCTTCAGAGCTTTTATCTAGGGGGTCGCTCAGTCGTAGGTAACTCAACGGCACATAACAACAACATTCCATTTTAATAATTCTAGTGTTATTGATCCTAGTAACCTATGTATATTATTTAAATACTCTCTAGGTGATTTGTAGCTGAAGTAAATCTCTAACATGTCAAAATTTCAGTGTCAGGGGAGCGCTGGTGGCCTAGTGGTAAAAAGCTGCACTGCAATCCCAGAGATATGCAGTTCGAATCCACCAGATGCTCTGCCGGAGAAGGAGGGGCAATCTCCTCCTGTACCAGTCAAATCTGATTTGACGGCACACACATACACAAAATAATAAAATAAAAATTTTTAAAAAATTCAGTGTCACTAAAGTAAGGTATGCTGCTCAGAGCCAAGATATGCCGATAGCACGATAGCAGTAAGCAGAAACTAGAGCCCGTCTGACTGCTTGCGGTGTGTGCGCGTGTATGGTCATGTGTATCTGATTGCACCTAAGGGCGCGCTGGGTCTCAAAGCTCTACGCCTGTACACTCAGTTCTATGAAAACTTCTATGACGGCACACTCAGCTGTGACTGAGCCAGACGCAGGAGATACTTAGGCAGTGTTGGCCAAGCGAAAGTCATGTGTCACCCCATAAAATTGCTCAGGATTGAGGCATGTTGTTCATAGCTTCGGTTTTCTGAATCTAAAAAAAAAAAAAACGGAAGTTGTTAATATTGAAATTAAATGCATAAATAGAAGACTTAGGCATTAATAAGCTAAAATGGCAGGATGCCTTTGATAGTATGAGGCCAGCACAGAAACTCTCATGACACATCATCCTGTCCCCTTGCACACAAGCTCATCCAACATACATAAGCGGAATGGATGGAAACAGGAAAGTTTCGGCTCTGACGATACCACTTTATTTTCTGATCCACTCGGTTTATAAGCACGTCCCTGTGCTTTCCCCACACTCCTCCACCCCGCTGGTAGCCAATAGGTGCACACGCAGTCTCTATGGCGACTGACACCAGCGCCCTCGCGCACGCGCACTGCACGCAGCCCTAAGGGCTTGTCTCCATGGTGATGCATCACGGAGTGCTCTCGCGCACGCCCATTGCCTGTGGTCCGAGCAGCATCGGCTGGTCTCCATGGCGATGCAGCGCAGAGAACCCTCACGCACGCACTGCCTGTGGACCCCGAGCGGCACCTGGCGGGTCTCCATGGTGACGAGTCACAGAGCTCCGTTGGGCACGCGCAGTGTACGCAGCCCAGCATTTCAGGGCTTGTCTCTATGACAATCCGTCACAGAGAGCCCTCGCCCACGCGCAGTGCATGCAGTCCAGGCTCTAGACTTGTCTCCATGGCGACGCGACACAGAGCGCCCTCCCGCACTCGCACTGCGTGCAGCCCAAGCTCTAGGCTTGTCTCCATGGCAACGTGTCACTAACCGCCTTTGAGCCCCAGCTCCGGGCAGGTCTCTGCGGCGTGTCGAGGGGCCATGGAGCAGTCTGTGCCCCCGGCGCCCTGCCCCCCTCAGGGGCACACAAGGCCCCAGCCAAGTAAGACCCTCCGGCCGTGGGGAGGGGCTTCCCGCCGATGGGCTTCCATCAGTGGTCCCTGAGAGACAGCCCAGGGCTCCGAGGATGCCAGTGTGTTTACCCACAGACCCTTTGCCAGCTCTTTGCCCACCTTTCTTCCTAAAATGTCTTTTGGTTTAAACATCTCCAAAGAAATGCTGGGTAAGCTCTGGTGACGCAGAGGTCAAGCTCACGCCTTCTAAAGGGATTAGTAGGACTCAGACCCCTAGAACACCACACCTGACCCTGCCCAGTCCTGCGCCATTCTCCTCATCTCTGATCTGTTTGTGCCAGTTCCCACAGTCACTGTGTCAGTCCATCTCCTTGAAGGTCTCTCTCTCTCTCTCTCTTTTGCTGAACTCCCACCTTTCCAAACATGATGGCTCTTTTCCAAGGAATAGCCTTTCCGAGCGCAACCATCGCAAAGGTAGGTGGTTCGGATCCACCAGCAGCTCAGCAGGAGGACGGGCTGGAGAAAGATAGCAGTCTTCTGCCTTGACACTGTCTCTGAAAACCTGAAGGGTCAGCTGTGAGTCAGCCAGGCTGAAATCGGGGAGGACTTGAAACGGTTGTTGCAGAGAATCAAAGGCCACAGTCTTCAATATGGGTTTTATCTCAGCATCAAAAACAGAAATCCTCACCACAGGACAACAGGATGATAGGTGGAGAAAAGACTGACATTGTTAACAATTTCATCTTACTTGGATCCACAACCAACACCCTTCCTTGGTAGCAGCAGTCAGGAGATGTTTTCACTGGGAAAGTTTGTTGTCAGGGACTGTTTGGAACCCAGCAAAACCCTGGGTAGAAAAGAGGGGTGGTCTGATTGCCTCGAAATTATAGCCTTGGAAACTGCCTGAGGCAGCTTTCCTCTGGATCTGGTGGGTAACTGAGTGGGAATCAGCCCCGGCACAGCGGGCTATCAAGTGCCTGCCTAGGAAAGAGCATGGAAATGTAGGAGACAGACCTGGCAGTTTCTTCCATAGAGACGTGGTTGTGTTGTTTGTTATGTGCCTTCAAATCAGAACTGTTGAATTGGCAAGTATTTTGTAGTTTGGGGGTTTTACCACTATGAAAATAAAGCAGCTCAGTCTCTCTGTTTTGATCTAGTAAAGAGGAGACTAGAACCAAGAAAACAGGCTCGTTGCCATGGAGTCTGTGTGGCTGCATGATGACCCCAAGGTGCACAGGAGCACTCCCTGTGGGTCCCTCTCAGCTGTAACTTAGATGAACGAGATGGCTAGACCCTTCTTACCAGATGCGGCAGGTGGGTTTGAACTTCCAACCTTTAGGCTAATAGACTGCTTGCATCACATGCATTCCTGGCAGGAGAGATGGAGGAGAGGAAGAATTCTCTGCCTCAGGAGCCCTGGTGATGTGGTGATTAAGCTCCTGGGTGCTAGCTGAAAGGTCAGCTGTTTGAAGTCACCAGCAGCATTGTGGGAGAGAGAGGAGGCAATTAGTTCCACAGAGCCCCTGGGGGCAGCTCTGCATGGTCCTCCAGGGCCGCTGAGTTGGAAGGTTTGTTCCCTGATTACAGTCCTGCATCTCACCCTGCCATCCTTGATGACTTTCACTGTCTGCCCTCCCCTTGCTTGTCCCTGGAAAGGCTGCTCAGAAGCACCATTGGTGTGAATGACCACCTCACGTCCCACAGCTTCCAGCACCACCGAAAGGTGCTGTGGACTCTCTAACCTCTAACTGATCTAACTGATCCTTCCCCTGCTTCTCACACCAAAGTATCCAGAGAGTTCCACCTGGATGTCACAGAGGGCCTTGAATTCAACAAATCCACAGTTATATTCTAATTTCCACAAGTCTTCTAGACTCTGAAATTCTGTTAGCAGTCTCCTAGATGCCCAAGTCAGAAGAGAGGGCAGCTTCCTGGATACCTCAATGGGAACCGTAGATCTCAAGATTTTATTTCCAAAATCCCTGTCCCCAGGAAGAGTTCAAAACTCATCCTCCTAAAAAGAGTATGTGTCCCATCACCTCCATCAACCATTGTCTCCTATGTCCTGAGTCCAGGATTGCATGGTGCCCAGCCACCATTACTTTATGTTCAAGTGAGGGATTCTATAGATCAATCCTTATCGAAAGGGGGACGTTTCAGAACAGATTTGTTGAATTCTAATAAAATCCAGACTTGGCTACCTTTGAATCAAGTAGTTCTTATAAAGATGCTGTCAGCTCCCCTGTGAACACATCTGAACCTTGCCCTAACCTCTACTTTCCTCATTATCTCTTTCCTGTAGCTCTTAGATCAGTCCATCTCACTGAAGGCCTTTTATTTCACTGACTGTCTTTCCAACCAGGATGTCTCTCTGTAAGGACCAATTCTTCCTGAAAGTATGCTCAGAGTAACTGAGACAAAGTTTTGCCATCTTTGCCTCTCAGAAACATTTCTGGTTGTACTTTCTTCAGGACAGATTTGTTTGTTCTTTCGGCAGTCCATAGGATATTCAGCAATCTTCTCCAACACCACAATTCAAAGGCCTTGATTCTTCTGCAGTCTTTTTTGTTGTTGTTGTTGTTGTTGTTGTTGTCCAACTTTCCGGTGTATAGGAAGCAATTGCAATTACCAAAGCTTATATCAGGCACTCCTTAGTCTTTAAACTGACATCCTTGCTCTTTAGAACTTTGGAGACGTCTTTAGCAATGGTTTTACCCAGTGCTACACATCTTTTGATTTCTTCACTGCTGCTACCAAGGGTGTTGATTGTGGATCAAAAGAAAATTATATAATTTACAACTTCAGTCTTTTTTTCCATCTCCAATCTTTTTTATTTAATTTAAAAATTAAGTAAATGATGATTGATGCAAAGGAGTCTGTTTTTAGCAGCTTCGTCAACAGAAGAAGAAAGTTAACACACACGGACCAGACCATCAGATTTGTAGTAGTTGTTGACTGATAATTCAGGACGAGGGCTGGTGTGTGTACACAGTTAGCTCGATCAACTAAAGACAAAAAGGAGGGAAGTTTGAGCTCACCCAGTCACCATGGAAGAAAGGCCTGGCACACCCTTTCAGAAATACGAGTCATTGAAGGCTGTGGTGCGTGTTCTCTGACACAAGTCAGATGGCCTGAATCACAGTCAAGTCAAAGGCAGCTAAAGCGGAGTCAGAGTCAACTCAAAGGTAACAGGTGTTGAAATGAAACACTTTTAACATGTGATTCCCAGTAAAGTAGAAGCATTCTAGGCCAATGTCAAGTCCTTTTCTGACTTTTTTTCCATTAGTGATCGTCTTCATTTCCTGGTACAGTTGTAGCAATAATACCATAAGTGGGTGGCTTTACAGAACAGAGACATATTTCCTACTAGTTTTGGAGGCTAGAAGTTGAAGTCAGGATATCATCAGATATCCTGCACTTTTTTTTTGCCTGTAGGGAAGGGATTTTTTTGTCTCTTTCTGCTTCTGACAGCCCCAGAATTCCTTGATGTTCCTTGACTTGCAGATGGTTTTGGAGCCCCAGGAATTGACGGCATGCCAGTTGACATATTTCAGCAAACAGACACTGCCCTGGACGTGCTCACAAAGTTGAGCCAAGAAATCTGGAGGACAGCCACCGGGCCAACTGACTGGAAGAGATCTATTGTTGTTGTTGTTGTTGTTGTTATGTGCCATCAAGTCACCTGCGACTCATAGTGACCCTATGTACAATAGCCCTAAACTCCGCTCTGTCCTGTGCCAATCACACTGTCTCTGACACTCCCATCCCAATTATCCCAGTCACTGAATCTGTTCCTATTCCAAAGAAAGGTGACCCAACAGAGTGTGGAAATTATCAAACAATATCATTAATATTACATGCAAGCCAGATTCTGCTAACGATTATCCAAAAACGACTGGAACAGCACATCATCAGAGAATTGCCTGAAGTGCAGGCTGGGTTTAGAAGAGGCTGTACTGCTAGAGATATATAGCTAGAATCTGTGTTTCATTGACTAAGCAAAGGCATTTGACTGTGTGGATCACACAAACTGGCTGACTCTGAGAAGAATGTGTATCACAGAACACTTGATTGTGCTTATGTGAAAACCTATATTTGGACCAGGAGGGAGTCGTCAGCACAGCGAAAGGAAACACCGCATGGTTCAAAATCGGGAAGGCTGTACCCCAGGCATGTCTCCTGTCTCTGTATCTTTTCAGTCTGTATGCAGAACAGATGATCTCGGAGGCTAGGCTCTATGAGGAGAAATGTGGCATCAGGATTGGAGGAAGACTCATCAACAACCTGTTATGCAGATGACACAACCCTGCTTGCTGAAACTGAGGAGGACCTGAAGCACTTGTTGCAGAAGGTCAAGGATTGTAGCCTTCAATATGGATTGAAGCTCAACATCAAGAAAACAAAGATTCTCACCACTGGGCCAATTGGCAGCATCATGATCGATGGTGGAGAAACAGATATTGTTAAACAGACTCTGTTTGCTTGGCTCCACAATCAGCATTCTTGCTACCAGAAGCCATAAAAGCAAAAGATTAATTGCACTGGGAAAAGTCTGCTGTCAGGGATGTCCCCAGAGTACTAAAGAACAATGATGTCAGTTTTGAGACTAAGGTGCACCTGATCCAGGCCATGGTCTTTGCACTTCCTTGCTGTGCATCAGAAAGTTAGACAATGTTGTTGTTATGTAATGTTAGACACTAGGCGTAGCTGCTATTCATAGCACACATGGTGGTTGTTAGATGCCATCAAGTTGCGTATGACTCACAGCAACCCTAGGAACAACAGACCTGAGAGCCCTGTCCTATACTGCCGTCCTCACAGTCTCTGACACACTTGAGCACTTTGCTGCAGCCACTGCATCAACCCCTTTCATTGAGGGTCTCTCTTTCACAGACCCTCCACCTTCCCCAGCATGATGTCCCTCTCTAAAGAATAGCCTCTTCTGCTAACAGCATCCCCAAGTATGTAAGACAAAGCTTTGTCCAGGGAGCATTCTGGCTGCTCCCTCTGCAGGACCCATTTGTTCTTTTGGCCATTCGTGGGATGTTCAGTGCTCTTCTCCAGCACCACAGCTCAAAGGCATCAATTCTTCCATCATCCTTATTCATTGTCCAGAGATTAGATGCATAGCAAGCAATTAAAAAGGCTATGGCCTATATCAGACACACCTTAGTCTTAAAACTGACGTCTTTGCTCCTTAGTCATTTGGAGGCAATACAGTCCAGGAGCTAGGGCTCATTGCTGTAGAAGCTTCTAGATGGAAATGCAGGGGACGCAGGATTGAGGCCTTGGGTGAACAGCCACAGGTGAGGTGATGTAGCTACCTCACTGGATCTCAGGGGCTCCTGAACTAAAAACAAGGCCGGACTGAGAGACATGAGGAGATGAGCAGGAAGAAAGATGCCCACTAAGACCCAAACTCCAGGCCACCCTGTCCAGTGTCCCCCGTGGCGACGTCCCACGGACTTACTAAGCTCATAAATCTTGGCCATTCTCACGCCTGGTCTACGCCATTACCGCCAAGTTGGGACCTTCCACTAGATTTCTGAAGATGGGCATTTTATGGAGTGCTCGTCTTTTTAAAGCCCTCTGCTTCTCTCCGGGTCCACCTTAGCCACTCCGGAGGAGAGATTTTCCTCCCTGTCTTTCCTCCTCAGAGCCCCTGGATGGGATTTGACTCACCAGCCAGGTGCAGTCCTGGGATTACCAGCCCCAGAGCTCCCCTCCCAGGCAATAGAGGTTGTAAAGACCACCTCTGTGAAAGCTAAGGACAGGCTCCACACAGACAGAATCACCCTCGGTGGCCACCAGGGATGGAAAGCGAGAGGGGCGGGGGGTCAAAAGTACACAGATAAGACAGTAAGAGGATGGAGGGAAAGGCAACAGACAATAAGGGATTTATCATTGTCTTTAACTAGTCACATTAACTAATTGTAATCAGTTTTATAAAATAATGTATGAATGGTGACAACTGTCTGACACAAGGTGTGTTACACAGTGAACTGAGGGGAAAGGGAGGGGAAATGTGCAACAGTCAATGAAAGAAAACCCAACCTTTCTGTAAACGTAATTAAAATCACAGTGCTAAAATAATAGATGAATTAATGAAAACCAGGGTGATTTATAAACTTTCATGCAAATCACAAGAAAATAATAACCAGTGTGTCGGGGGCACTTTTTCAACAGCACGTGCTCACTACGTCATTGTTGCCCTCACAGTATGTCAGGGTGTTTTTCAGGCTGTTTCACGCTTCGCAGGCCCAGGCCTCGCATCAAGGTAGCTTTCATAAGCACCACAAACAAATCCACCTGACTCAGTTTATTCCAGGACTGATTTGACTGTGATGTTCTAGAATGGAACCAGGGCTCCCTCTGAGGTGTGCCCCCTCAGGACCTTGTTCCTTCACAGACCTGAACACAACCCCGACGCCCTCACACAACACTTACCCCCTCATCCAAGCCCAAAACCTTCACACAGCCCCAACCCGCTCACAAAGCACTGCTCCCCTCCAAGCCCCAACCCCCTGACACAGCCCCAATGCCATGGGATTTTTTTTTTCACTTTTTATTGTGACGTGAGTGAGTCTCCCAGGCCTGTTTGTTTCCACGCCTATTGTGTGCCACGGCCTTGACACTGTCTCTCGCACTATAACAGCACTTTCCCCTGGTTTTCTGTTTGCATCCATCCTCTCTGAGTCTTTCCTGGGCAGTCTTGTCTGATCCCACCAACGTTTTGCATGAACCTGAGGAAAGTGGAATGAGATGAGTTGCAGTGTTGTTCCAGGAAGCATTGTGGTATGCCAGAGAGAAGAGAAAAATATCTGGTGTAACTTGGTCTTGTTTGTGTACTGTCATGATGAGAAGTAAAGCCAAGCATGCCTGTGTATTATATATGCACCATGTGTGTGCAGTAGGGGAGTCCTGCTGGCATAGTGGTTAAGTACTTGGTTGCCAACCAGAAGGCCAGTGGTTCGAACCCACCAGCTGTTCTCTAGGAGGAGAAGAGGCTGTCGGCATCTGTAAAGACTGCAGCTGTGGAAGCCGAGTGAGGAGGCAGTTTCCTCCGTCCTATAGACGCTGTGAGTCCCAATCGACTGGAGGGAGTGGGTTTGCTTATATATACATTTAGGAGCTCTGACGGAGCAGTGGTTAAGTACCCACTAACTGAAAGGTTGGCAGTTTGAGCCCACCAGCAGCTCCACCGAGATGCCAGCAGTGGGAGCCTCATGGGCAGCTCTGTTCTTCAGATGCTGTGAGTCGGGATCACACAGAGGCAGCGCTATGGTTTAAGGTGAATCTCCACGTGACGGTAACAGCACAAAAACCACATGCGAAGGGACGAAGTCACAAGCTAACATGGCTGCTTGAGGTGACAGGAGCAGTGAGGGGCGTGCCCAGGGTCACGGTGCACGTGTGTGTGTGTGTGTATGTGAAGAGGAAGGACCGTGAACAAGGTCTACTTTCATGTTTCTTTATGTTTCTCGAATTCTTTATAACAGCACGAGGAGAATCAGTAGAACTCTTTTTACTTGGGGATGCAGGTGGAGAGGAATGTAGACCCTGAAAGTGCTCATCCCTTCTTCCTCAGTAACCCAGCCCCCTCGGGCTGCCGTGCAGAGAGCCTGACTCACACCCACCCTCCTCCACTGGTTGTGAAGCCGTAAATCTTAGCTGGATTGTGCTGCGCCAGCTTTGTCTAGAAGAGTGCTTGGTGGATTTGAACCAGTCATTTTCTGGTTAGCAGTGCAACATGTAAGCCACTGCACCACCAGGGCACCTCTCCTCCCCATTAAAAACCACCTAGTGCTCTTGGCGTCTTAAGACCAAAGTGGAGAGGAGCCTGGCTCTGTGAGGGCCTTCCTCTTGCAAAGCTGTGTCGTGTTTTCCATCTCCCGGTCGGTCACGTTCAAAAGTGTCACGTTGTCCTTTTTCAGCTGAGTATAACTGGGACTCCTATGCAACCACGATGAAGAGTGCGTTCACTGTGAAGACACCAGTGATGTCTGAGAGGAGATGGTGAGATCCTGGCTCTGGTAGATAGATAGATAGATAGATAGATAGATAGATAGATAGATATGCAGGTTGCTGCCGCATCAACCATTACAACCACGTAACCTTCTCCTCTTCTCCATCACCATCACCAACACCTCACCTATCACTGCCACCACCACTGTATCACCACTATTACCATAACTGTCACCACTACTGCATAATCTTCTCCTCTTCTCCATCACCACCACTGTCACCTCTCCTATCACCGCCACCACTGTTACCACCATTATCACAACCACCACTGTTACCACCACTATCATTACAACTGTCACCACTATGTCACCACCTTCTCCCACCACCACCATTATCATCACCAACACCCACACCACCATCACCACCACTCTCACCAGCAGTACCACCATTACCAGCACCACCACCAAACCACAGCCACCACCTCCACCGTCATCCCCACCGAGGAGTGTGGCTCAGCTCTCCTGTGGATAGGGTGGATTTTCAAAGCTGTCTTCTGTACAGACAATGAGAAAGAGCAGACAGTCTGTCTCTATAAAGATTCCGGGAACCAAACCTCTGACCACGGATCTAAGCCCAACTATCGCAGCCCTCCATGGGGCTTCCAGGATGTAGAGCTTTAGAGAAGCAGACTGCCTCTTCCTTTTCCCAAAGAGCAACTAGTGGATTCAAACCTCTGACCTTCCAGTTAGCAGCCAAGCTCTTAACCTCTGTGGCCCCAAGCTCAGTCTAAACCTCTGACATCTGGTCCCTTCCAATACCGGGTGACCCTGTAATACCGAGCAGAGCGGCCCCATGTGCTCTCCAAGGCTGTACACCAGGAGCTCTGGTGACGTGGTGCTTTATTAACATCACTGCTGGCTACAAGGTCGTTCCTTGAATCCACAAGCCCCTCCCCGAGGGGAAGCTAGGCAGTCCATTCATTAAACATTCACAGCCCGGGGCCAGGGGAGCCTCGTCAGGGGTAGGAACCAGCTTGGTGGGGGTCGGCTTATTTCCGTCTTTGGAATCTGTAGAACTAGCCTGTCTCATCTTTCTCCCAAAGAGCAGCTAGTGAGTTTGAACCTCTATACTTCCAGGTACCAACCACATGCTTAAAAACTATGCCACCAGGGCTCCTTCCAAGCCTTCATATCGACCCCAACTCCTAGTGGCCCTGTAGGACAGAGTGGACCTTCCTCCTGGTACTGCCAAGGCGGTAAATCTTTACAGAAGCTGGCTGCCTCCTCATCCCCTTTCAAGTGGTGTGTGTGTTTGAACTGCTGACCTTTTGATTAGCAGCCAAATGCTCTGACCTCTCTGCCACCAGGGTTCCTCAGATTGAGATATTGATAGGTAGATATGGGCATACTTGAATTTGTCTTGTGGTGCCTGGTTATTCAGTACCTGAGGAAATAATGTTATCACACCAGAAATCTCTAGTCAATTCTTACTCGTGGTGGCCTCCACTGGGTTTCAGAGGTCATAAACCTTCACAGGAGATGAGCACCTCATGCCTCTCCTACAGAGTGGTTCTCTAGCCAAACCCTCTGTCGTTTCATGAGCCGGCCAGTATGTAGTGCACTCTGCAGGTTCGTAGAAATGCTTGGCGAAAACAGGACGTGGGCAAGGCCTACTACGTGCACAGGCCTAGTCTAAGCATCAAAGAATCAAAACTCAAACAGAATCAAGATCTCTTACCTGGAAACTAAGAATACTGACACATTGCTGCCCCAGAGTCACCAGGTCGTATGGCACAGAAGGAAAGTGCTCTGAGGTAAACAAGGCTCTGCCAGCTATCTGCACCCACAACTAAACAAAAGAGGAGAAACTGAGGCTTCCTACCAACTTCTGCAGTCTAAAATAGACTGGACATGCAATCAAGATGCTTTAATAAAAACCTGGTGACTGGAATGCAAAAGGCGGAAACAAGGGGGACTGCTAGTCAGAAATTAAGAACCTGGCGACAGAAATGAGGCTGGAAATTGAATTTATTAAATTCTGTACAATCAACAACTTATTCATTGCCAATATCGTCTTTGAAAAATGCAAACGACAACTACACATGAATCTCACTTGATGGACTGCACAGGAATCAGATTGACCACATCTGTGGGAAGAATCATTGGAGAAGTTCAATGTCAGCAGTCAAAACCAGGTCAGATGCTGACTGTGGACAAGACTACCAATTACTCATGCACGAGTTAAAATTCCAGCTGAAGAAAATCAAAACACGTTCACAAGAATCAAAATATGACCTTGAGTCCATCCTACCTGAATTTAAAAAAAAACCTCAAGAATAGATTTGAGGGCTTGAACCCTAATAAGGATAGACCAGATGAGCTGTGAGATGACATCAAGGTTATCATCCTTGAAGAAAGCAAAAGGTTGTAATAAAAACAGAAGAGAAAGGAAACCAAAGTGGGTGTCAGAAGAAACTATAAAAATCACACTATAATGTTGAGAAGCCAAAACAAAGGAAAGAAACGGCAGAGTAAAAGAGCTGAACAGAGATTTCAAAAGGCAGCACGAGAAGACAGAACAAAGTACTATAACAAAATGTTTAAATAGTTGGTTCTTGTGGTGGTGGTTGTTATGTGCCATCGAGTCACCTGCAACTCAGTGTGACCCTGTGTACAACAGCTCTGAGCCTTGAGCTATCCTAAGCCAGTATCACTGACTCTAACACATCTACCCCCATTACCTCAGTTACTGTGTCAGTTCATCTCATCCAGCATCTTCCTCTCCTGTGCTGTCCCTCCATCCTTCCAAGCATGATATCCTTCTCTAAGGACTGCTCATGCCCAAAGTTTCTGAGATGGAGCTTCAGAACTCTAGCCTCCAAGGAGAAACTTGGTTTCACCCTCTCCAATTCAGACCTGTTTGTTCTCCTGGCATTCCATGGTATATTCAATACTCTTCTTCAGCACCACAAATCCAAGGCTTCAAGTTGCAATACTAGAGGATGCTATGGGCAAAATCTTCGATTCTGGGAGCATCAAAAAAGAAAGATGAAGGGAATGCACATTCACTGTACCAGAAAGAATTGGCCAACATGGAAATATTTCAGGAAGCAACGTATGATCAGGAATCAATGGGAATAAAGAAAGATGTTCAAGATGCACCAAAGGCTTTGGCAACAAATAAGTCCCCATAAATTGATGAGCTGTGCATTGACACGTTTCAGTAAACAGTTGCAGCCCTGGATGTGTTCATGAGTCTATTCCAAGACCTTGGGAGATGGCTACCTGGCAGATTGACTGGAAGAGTTCTGCATTTAGTCTCATCCCCAAGAAAGGTGATCCAACAGAATGTGAAAATTATCTAACAATATCATTAATATCACTACAAGCAAAATTTTGCTGAAGATTATCCAAAAACAGCTGAAAACAGTACCTTGACAGAAAAGTACCTGCCAGAAATTCAGCCAGAATTTAGAAGAGGCCATGGCATCAAAGATATCATTGCTGACGTCATATGGGTCTAGCCTAAAAGCAGGCAGTATCACAAAGGTGACTGTGTTTTATCAGCTATGCAAAGCCATTTGAGTGTTGTTGTTTGCCGTCAAGTCTGAACTGACCCATAGCTGACCCTCAGCATGTTTTCAGAGACAGTTAGCCACATAGGAGACTGCCTGTCCTTCTCCTGTGGAGCAGCCAGTGGATTCGAACCACTTGCCTTTGGGATTACATTGTAGCTTCTTGCCACCAGGCCACCAGCAAGGGATATCATATCAGAATTGGAGGAAGACTCATCAACAACCTGTGTTATGCAAATGACACAACCTTGCTTGCTGAATCAAAGACCACAGCCCTCAATATGGATTGTATCTCAACATTGTTGTTGTTATGTGCCGTCGAGTCACTTGCGACTCATAGCGACCCTATGTACAAACAGTCCTAAACCCTGCTCTGTCCTGTGCCAATTGCACTGTCTCCAATATACCCATCCCGATTACCCCAGTTACTGAATCAATCCACCTCATAGAGGGTCTTCCCTTCCTGCGCTGTCCCTCCACCCTACTAAGAACAATGTCCCTCTCCAAGGACCGGTCCCTCCTTACAACATGTCCAAAGTATGTTAGACAAACCCCCAGAATCCTTGCCTCCAAGGAGCCGCCCAGTTTAACCCTTTCCAGGATGAATGTTTGTTTTCCTAGCCGTCCATGGTACCCTCAATACTCTTCTCCAGCACCACAGCTCAAAGGCATCAATTCTCCTTCTATCCTCCCTAGACATTGTCCAATTCTGATGTATAACAAGTGATTGCAAAGACCATGACCTGTATCAGACGCACCTTAGTTTCGAGAGAGACAGCATTGCACTTCAGTACTTTGGAGAGGTTCCTAACAGCAGACTTTCCCATTGCAATATGTTTTTTAATTTCCTGGCTATTGGTGCTGAGAGTGTTGACTGTGGAGCCGAGCAAACTAAGAAAACAAAAATCCTCACTGCCAGATCAATAGGCTACATCATGATAGATGGATAAAAAGTTGAAATTGTCAATTATTTCATCTTGTTTGGATCCACAGTTAACACACTTGGTGCCAGCAGTCAGGAGATAGAAGATGAATTACATTAGGATCATCTGTCAAAGACCTTGCCCGTTTGCTAAGGAGCAGCGATGTCCACTTAACGACTTAAGGTGCACATGATTCGAGCCTTGACCTTTTCAGTCACTTGCTATGCATCTGAAAGCAGGACCATGAATAATGATGGCAGAAGAATGGATGACAGCTCTGGGAACACTCCGGATCAGGTCTCCCCGTCCTATGAGGCTGCTGTGAGTGGGAATCCAGTGTCCTTTGGTTATGCTAACATCTGGTTAGGGAGCTTTGGTGGCCTTGTTGGTAAGGACTTTCTTTTCCAGTACACAGGCAGGAGGTTTGAACCCATCAGCTGCTCATAGGAAGAAAGATGACCAGTCTCTTCCTGTGCAACCTTCCAGCTGAGCATGGGCTGGAGGGTCAGCCCTGAGTCAGTTCCAGCTTGACAGCAGTTAGTTTGAGGATTGTGGTTTGACTTTTTTACTTTTTTAAACCTACAGTTGTACAGGAGCAGACTTATATCCTAACATGTTTATAAATGTCCGATTGCTATTCCTTAACCTCATTTCAAACCTCCCAAACTCCAGCTGAGAGTCTCATTTCAGGAGTGCTCACCGTTTGGAGACTGGCAATTAAATTGCTTTAGGCATCGAGTCACAAGCTTTGAAAAAGTAGGAGAAAGTAGAAGACAGAAATGGTGCCCACCTGCCACCGCTGGCCTCACCGGAGGAGATCCTGGAAGATGATCTGACCCACCACCGCTGCTGGCCTCACCAGAGGTGATCGCCGGAGATGGTCTGACCATCCTGCCACCACTGGTCTCGCTGGAGGAAATCACGAGACAGTCTAACCCAGCTCTCACCCCTGGTCTCACCAGCGGCAATCACAGGAGATGGTCTCTCCTAGCTGCCACCACTGGCCTCATCAGAGGAAATCACAGGAGACCATCTGACCCTGCTGTCACCACTGGCCTCGCCAGAGGAGATGACAGGAGATGGTCTGGAACAGAGTAGGCAAAAAGTGGGGCCCAAAACTCAAAGTCATGAAAATGCCCAGACTTACTAGGTTTATAGTGACTAATGGGACCCCAGATTCTCTGGCCCTTTCCCACCCTTAAAACCTGAAACAAAAGTCACCTTTGGTAACTTTCACCCAAAGAATGAACAACAGGCTTGGAAGGTCAACAGTAATGCCCGGTAGGGCCTCACTCCTCATAATAAATCATCCAAGACCAAAGGGCAGTACTTGCCCAGGGAGAAAACTCAGAAGCCAGCCTGGGTAGAAAAGAAGGAAGGGACTAATGGGAATAGGAAACACAGAGAGGGCCTGGAAGAATGCTGTTACACTGTGAAGACTGTAATTAATGTCGTAAAGCAAAATGTACCCAAATGGTTGCACAGGACACCCATCTACTCCATGGGCTTTTACTCAAATCACAAAGGAATTTTAAAAATAGTTGGAATTATTTGACATGGGTACTCTGAGGGAATTTTATATTAAATCTCTTCCTCTAACTCCTATTTGTTTTGTTATATTTTAAAAAAGTAAATAAAAACAAACAGAAAATCTCAACCTTGGAAGATTGGTGGTAAGGAATTGTGCTAACAGAAAGGTCTGTGGTTCGAACTCACCAGCACTCATTCTTTTCTTTTGTAGGAAAAGCCTCCAAAGATTGGAATATCCACATTGCCTTGGAGAACCTGTTCAAAATCAGACCCTTTACAATGACGAGTACACCTGGAAGTGTCCTAACGAGGACGGTCTCAACCACAGAATGAAGCAAGGCACGCAGGTCCGTACGCCTCACCCGAGTCAAGTTAAGATCAAACCTACAGGTGTTCTGACACTCACTGTGTCCTGTCCAGGGTGTGTGAGTGTGTGTGTGGTGTGTGTGTGTACCTGTGTGAGAGAGAGAGAGCGCGCGCAAGAGCGCGGGCACTGCTGACCCAGCCTCCACCTCAGCCCTGCCACATGCGTCCCCTCGTCCGGTCAGCCTTCTCACATTCATGTCTGACCATCCACAGTCTGCCTCTAGTTCTCGTGCACTCTGGTTTCTGCCCTTGCAAGCCTCTATGCATTCTTATTAAGAAACAAACAACAAAACAACTTTTCTGTGTGCTCTGATAAAAAGTTTTCTTTTTATTATGCTCTTAATGAAAGTGTACGGAGAAGACTGGCTTTCCATCCGTCCATTTGTATCTATTCTGTTTTCTGACATTGGTTACAGTCCTCATAGTGGATCTTCATACAACCCACTTCCTCCCTGTGATTCTCTTTCCATTCATCCTCCTGTCATGTCCTTCCTGTCTTCTGAGCTTTCTCCCTCCTGTCTTCTGAGCTTTCTCCCAGAGTAAATGCTTCCTTCTGGGTCTTACTGGCTGACTATTTTTAGGAGTTCACACCTCCTTGGTATTATCATTTACCTCACAAGGCTGTGTGTTGTTTGATTGAAAGTTAAGACACAGGGGTGAGTTTAGATCTGGGCTCCAGGGATGACCAAGGGGCCATGCTAGTCTCCATTACACCAACAAACCAGCCGTTTTTATGGTTTTTCATTTGCCCCACCTCTTTGTCCCCGTCTGCCCAGGCCCCTCTGCTGTGATGCGTTTTCAAGCTCTCACGTTATAGAGGGGCACCAGCTCGTTCTCCTGAGTCTGGGGTCATCCTCCATGCCTTTTATAATGATGGCCAGTGAGGTCAGGCTTTCGAGGAGCCGTCACTCAGCCCTTCTCTGCTGGCCTCTGCATGTCCTTTGGGTGTGGTATATTCTTCTCTCACTGAAAAAGACAATACACCGTTTTACTCTGAAAAGAACTCGAACTCGTTGCTGTAGAGTCAGAACCAACCGCAGCCGACCCTCCAGGGATTTTTCAGAGGCTGTAAGTCACACAGGAGGAGGTTGCCCATCTTCCTCCAGGTGAACAGCTGGGGGATTTGAAGGCCCTGTAGACATTCGTCATTTCGTTATGCATTTTGTTGAACTTTTAAGACTAGAAGGTTTATGACAACCCAGCATCGGGAAAGTGTGTGGGTGGCCCTTTCCCGGCTTCATGTGCTCACAGTTCGTCTCATTTTGGAAGTCACACAACCTCCCAGTCGTTTTCATCACACTGTTTGAATCCACCAGCTGATCCGCAGCAGAAAACCCAGCAGTCTCTTCCTGGTTCACGTCTCTGAAACCGTGCTGGAGGGTCAGCTCTGGGGGGGCTCCGGCTCAGCGTCGGGTAACAGCAGCAGCATTGCTCGGATAAATGGATTAGGGCTCAGTAATCCCCCGTCGGGCTTCTGAGCCTGTAAAACTTTAAGGGAGGAGACTGGTCTTTCTCTTGGAGAGGCTGGTGGATCTGAACCCACAACCACGTGGTGCTCTATGCCAACTGGACTCCTTGAAAGGACCACACGTTGCAGTTGAGTTGGTTCTGACCAGACAACTTCGACTGGGCTTCCCAGGCTGTAGCCACATGGAAAGAGCCTGGCCGTCCCCTGACCCCCTTAACAGAAGGGTGAAATGGCTGTGTGGATTCTGAGAACACAGACCCTCGGTTTACTATGGTGACCTGGAGCTGAGCCCTTACTGCCTCTGAGCTGTGGCTGTGGGTGGTGTTGGGGGGACTCACAGGCATGGGGTTTGGGGTATACACTTCTGTCCTAAGGAGGCCTGGTGGTGCAGTGATTAATGCTTCAGGCTGCTGATGGGAAGGTCTGTGGTTCACATTCACCAGCTGTGCCTCAGGATCCAAGCCTCAAAACCCCAATGCAGAGTTGGAACGGACCCAGCCACAGTGGGTCTGAATTCTGACGGCAAGCCCCTGAAACCTGGAGGGAGTACATGTCTGTGAGTTTAAGCCACCGCTGTGGTGTCTCTGTCACCGCATCCTGGGGAACGGGCGTATTGCTAACAGACACTCGTGGCCTTGATTCCTCCGGTGGACAAGCACAGCTTTTCTGAACACTCTGCCTGTGCTTGCAGGGGGCTCTGCCCCTGGGACCCCGGCCAACGTCCAAGAACAGCTGTGTCCCCTGGAAATCTGTGTTGGAGGAAGAGGCCAGGAGAGCAGTGTCCCATCAGTTCATCTCCGTGACAATGAGGGACTTTGTGGACAAGACCAAAGGTAAACACGCTGTATCTCCTCCATCCCCCTGGGCGCGGGTCACACACTGGCCTCGTTAGGTGACCAGCTGTCGAGCCCATTTTAAACTGACAGAGCTCCCACGTGACAGGTGGGAAGTGCCCAGAGAGAGGGGTTTCTGAGTTCCAGCCTTGATGGTAGCACACTACATTAAGATCAGATGCGTGGGAAACAGAACCCTACGGTGCTGTCCTGCCGAATCCGCCACGAGTGAGCAGCTTCGGAGGACGGAGAGTGTCTTCTCACGGTCACGAGGCCCCAGGTCCAGGTCCAGAGTGTTGCCTCCACAGAAAGGCCTTTCTGCTGTCAACTCTCAGTAGCTGTGGGCAGTCCATAGGCTTCCTGGGCTCCTAGAAGCTTCCACACATGGCCTTTCACGCTCGTGTGTGTGTGTGCCAGAGTACATGCATGCGTGTGTGTGTGCATGTGCCTCTGTGTTCACACCTGTGTGTGTCTGTGCATGCCATTGTGTTCATGCCTGTGTGTGTCTCTGTGTACCTATGTGCATATATGAATGTGTGTGTGCACAGGCCTGTGTGTTCATGCCTGCATCTGTGTGTGTGTGTGTGCCAGTGTTCGTGCATGAGCATCTGTGTGTCTGTTCTGCTCTACTGATAAGATACAGCTCAGCAGGGGTTGGGTGAGGACCCACCCTACTCCCCAGCAGGCGAGGCGGTATCGTTAGCGTAACACACCCACTCTCATTGCCAGTGAGACCAGTGACTCCCAGCTTGCTCTCTGTGGGTTTTCTGAGTCTGTACATCTCAGGGAGGAGACTGCCCATCTTTCTTCCTGGGAGCAGCTGGTGGACTTGAACCAGACACTTTCATGTTGGCAGCCCAACTCCTTACCTAGACCTCTGTTTCTAAACAAGGTCCCACTCGTGGAACAGCAGTTAGGACTTCACATTGCTTTTCTGAGGACACAGTCACACCCACAGCACTGGCCCCCCTGTGTTCATCTGACCACCTCAAGTTACAGCTGTGTGCTGGTGTGTCAGGGGGTGTAACTGCTGCACAGGCTTGCTCGGCTGTGACCTTGACAGGAGCAGAGTGCTGTGACTTCCTCCCACAGAGCAGCGGCTGGCTTTGCACTGATGGCCCTTCGGTTTGCAGCCACACACAGCGCTGTTGTGCCCCAGGACCCATTAGCCTTGTCCAGAATCCCTCACTCTCCCTTTTCTTTGCAGGGCCTCCTCTCTGCCCACAAGCACACGAGGGAATGGGGAACAGTGGGGTACATTTTGCACTGCCCGTGGCAAGGGAAGAAGCTCTGGTGTCTTAGTGGGGAGGAGTTAGTCGCCCTGCCAGCCCAGGCACAGGCCCTTGGAACCCACCAGCTGCTCTGCAGGAGAAAACCGGGCGGGCAGTCTCCTCGCCCCCAGTGAGTGACTGCACAACAGCAACAACCATTCACAGGACCAGAGCTGCAGGTCGTCCTCCCCAGGGAGTCCTGGTCGCTGCGCATTGTGTGGTGGGCTGCTAGCTGAGAGGTTGGGAGTTGGAATCTAACAGGTGGTCCTTGGGAGAAATATGGGCATCACCTTTGTAAAGAGTGACCATTCAGAAACCCGATGGCCGTCACTAGGATCTGGAACCGACTTAGCAGCGAGGCTGCCAGTCCCTCGGCCGGTTTGAGGTGGACGCTGTGGTGAAAGCAGGGCTCTGAGCCTTTCCAAGCCAAAGGCTTAGAAAGAGCGGGTCGTTGGGCTGACCGCCGGTCAGCTGGCTCCGATTCCCGGCAGGCGCACACAGCAGACCCCAGCACTGCCTGGCCTCTCCTCCTGTGCCGTCTGCACCCACAGTTACAGCAGGGGGCACATTGCATGTGCTGTGGGAAGGGCCCCCCAATCTGAGGGGACAACAGTACCCTGTTCTCTCCAGCTCTCCCCGGCTGACTCTCCCCACATGTCAATGGAACGCCTGGCTCTGGTCTGTCTTAGTCTGAAAGTTCTGCTGAACCCGCCTGGACGGCCCGGCTGGCGCTTTTAATGCTGGTGGCAGCGGCTGCCTCGCAACCCGCACAAGCCCCCAGTGCACAGTCTGGCCGAAGAGCGGAGGATGCATCGTAACCACTGACTCTTCCTCCCTTTCTCCCGCGGCCCCAGCTCAAAGGGTGAAGACGAGTCCCCGAGAAACTCCTGAGCAGAAGTCCATCCCCCGGCCTCCAGAAACGGAATTTCGGCGAAATTTCCAAGTCCCAGATAAAATGCCTGAATGCCAGGATATTAGTTTCAAATATGGATGTTACTCCACGCTGTCTGCCCCTTCCCAGGGCATCGGTAAGTCAATGGCCTGCGGCCTCCGCCTCTCTCCTAGAATACCAGGGGGCAGCATGCAGGTGGAGGTGGCCCATCTCAGAGAATGCCTCGCACCTCACGGGGTCAGAGCCTGTGCGGGACCTGGGGTGGCCGAGCGCTTAGGACTGACCCAGGCCAGAGGGCTGAGTGCGTGGAGAAAGGCAGGCCCCCCGAGAGGCCGCAGCCTGGAGCCCACCAGCATCTGCTCTGTCCCAACGATTGTTCTGAGCCGGTATCAACTGAAGGGCAGCGAGTCTGCCTTTTTCGGTTGGTTTACGGTGTCTAGTTTCAAATCCAAACTGAAGAGACTCATTGCCAAGGAGTTGGAAGCAGCACCTGGCTGATCCTCCGTGGGGTTTCCGAGGCCATAAATCACACAGGACGGGATTGCCCACCCTTGTCCTTCGGGGCAGCTGCTGGGTTCGAACCACAAGAGAGGAGCTGCCTTAGGGCTAACATCCAGCTCCCCACACACCGAGCAGAGCTCCCGGAGGAGTGGATTCAGGAAAGCAGGGGTGAGGTGAGACAGTCGCTGAGACCTCCCGTTGTCAGATGAAGGGAAGCGTGTGAAAAGCCTCTGGTGGCGAGGGCAGCTGAGCTCACAGTGACCAGGGAAGGGTGACAGGGTGGCCCGGGCAGCACGCGGCTGCCATGGTGACAGAGGCAGAGAGCCTGATCCGACCTTCTCCCTCGGAGAGCTGTTAGCGGCTGAATGCTTAACGGCTGTGCCACTAGGGCTTCTGTGAGACCACAGTAGCTCCTTAGAAAACAGAACCTTGATCGCTAACAATAGAATACATCAAAAATGTCCAACACCACAGATGCTCATCTGTTCAGATTGACTCTCACCTAAAAAATAAAATCCAAAAACCAAGAACTCCACCCACTGCCAACGTGGTGATTCCAATTCCCAGCAACCCTTTGGTGAGCTCTGGAGGCCCAGTGACAAGAAACTGCACTGCAGTCCCAAAGGCACACTGTTCAAATCCACCAACTGCCATGTGGGAGAAGGATGGGCAGTCTCCTCCTGTGCAATCTACTGCCCCTGGAAACCCGCGGGAGGGCCAGCTGTGGGCCCGTTCTGACTCGAGGCCCATTCTGACTCAAGGCCCGTTCTGACTGGACGGCACACCACAACCGCAACCCTTTAGGGCAGAGCCAGATGGTGCCGAGGTGTCTCAGGCTGCCATCTTCACAGAAGCAGACTACCCTGTCTGTAGACTTGAACCTCTGACCTTTCAGTTACCAGCAGGGCACTTAACCCACAGGCCACCAAGACTCATTCAGGAAAGATGTAGTTGCTATAGAATGATAGGAAAGTGATTAGGCGAGACTCAAACAGGATTCCTCAGTGTCCCACCTGGAGCTTAGCCACATGGGAGGGTATTCTTCCAGCATTTTCTATTTAAGTGAGTATGATTTATGGTCCTGATATTCATGGTGTCCAAGAGACAACCAGCGAAAGCCCCATGACCAAGCTACCCCCAGCAGATCAAGGATGAGCCTGAGACGGTGATTTCTAGTTAAACCGGGAGGCCCGTGTAATGTCATTTCTTAGTCTGCAGTATCTTTAAGGAGGCCGGGTTCATTCTCCCTTGGCCTCACTGGTGTCTGCAGCCTGTTCTCTCCCCTGTGTGCCCCCCACAGTTCCTTCAGCGCTGCCCAGCCGCATGTGGAACCAGGAGGGTGCCACACACCAGACCACCTATCAGAGGCATTACGGGCAGGTCCCCTTGGACGTCTTGATGATTCTAAACTCCTTTAGCCCTGCTCAAATCACAGAGTACCTGAGTAAGGTTTCCTGCAAAGGTAAGGGAGCTCCTGAGTTGTTATTAACGTCTACGTAGAGTAAATCCATTCCTTCACGCCAGAGGGCAGTTGTCCCCATGCAGACCCATTGTTTGTGGGGGAGTCACGCGTTGACCCCAAAGAACTTAATAACACAGCTCACTGGAGCTTGATGTCCACACGAAGGAGAATATGGCCCCCATAATCCCACCGTGCTCCGCACACCCAAGTCTGCTGGATGAGAGGCTTTCCTCAGAGAAGGCTTGGCAACCACACTGCTCATTGAGGAGATGCTCAGGGTTTGTCCATCATGTGGGCTGGAGTCGGTGAGGGTGCCCACTCGTGTCTGGCCGTCCACTGTTCCCTCTGCTGGGTGTCTGTCCTGTCTTATGGTTTGGTTCTGTCTGGTCTTTATTTTTCATTTGGTGGAAATGTTTATGGCGGGCATTTTGCGTTTACTGTGGTTCTCTGGTGGCGCAGTGGGAAGGAGCTGTGCTGGCAACCCAAAGGCAGGGCATTCAAAGCCACCAGCTGCTCCAGGGGAGAGAGAAGGGCCATCTCCCGGCGTGGGATCAGCTGCCTCTGCAAAGCCGCCGCGCCTTGATGGTACACAGCACCAGCACCACTTCATAGAACGAAGCGCATCCCATCAGCCTCCTTCCCCGCACGGTTCAGTGGCATGAACCACATTCACCATGGTGTCCAACCATCACATTTACCAGAGCATCCCAGTCAGTAACAAGTCCTAGCTCCCTCATTCCCGCTCTCTCCCATCTCCGGTACCCACTCATGAACTTTGGTCCCTAAAATACAAAACCCCAAGCAATTCATTGCCTTTAAGATTATTCCAACTCACAGCAACCCCACAGGACAGAGTAGAACTGTCCCATACAATTTCCAAGACTATAAATCTTTACGGAAACAGAAATCTCATCTTTCTCCTGCCTGGTAACTGATGACTTTGAACTGCTAAACATTTTATTAAAAACCCATTACTTAATCACTATGCCATTGTGAAAGTCAGCTGTCAGGGACCTCTCCAGAGTTGCAACAACATCAGTCTGGAGACTAAAGTGTGCCTGTTACAGGCCATGGTCTTTGCAATCACTTGTTCTACATCAGAGAGCTGGACAATGACTAAGCATGATAGGAAAATGATCGATGCCTTTGAGTTGTGGTGCTGGAGAAGAGTCTCAAACATACCATGGACCACCAAGAAAACAAACAGGTCTGTCCTAGAGAGGGTGAAACCAAGCTACTCCCTGGAGGCTAGGATTTTGAAGCTCTGTCTCACATACTTTGGGCACACGGCCGGGAGGGACAAGTCCTTGAAGAAGAACATCGTGTTTGGAAGGGTGGAGGGACAGCACAGGATGAAATTGACTCAATGACTGTAGAAATGGGATTCAGTCTGTTGGGAACAAAGAGATTGGGTCAGGATAGGGCAGGATTCAGAGCTATTGTACTTAGGGTCCCTGTAAGCCGCAGGCAACTTGACGGCACATCACACACACACGCCACCAAGGCCCCTCATGAGCCAGGTACTTCCTCATCTATTACAGGCATTTCATTAAGTGGGATGTATAACTGGCTTCATTCGTGAAGCTGCCTCGCTCCATTTTTTCAGAGTCTTTCCACATTGTGATCAGGGCTCATTTCTCTGATGGCTGAATTGCAGGCCAGTGTCTGTGTCACACAGTCCGGTGATCCATCCATCTGCTCACGGACGCGGGGGTGGTTTCTGCCCCGTGGCTGTGGTCACCGGTGCTGCAGCTCCTGTGGACGTGTGCCTCCTGTCCTTCCTGCTCTCGGCTCCTCTGGGTGGGGGCTCTGACGGCTCAGTGGTAAAGATTGCACTGCTTACTTGACAGCACCTAACAAGAAAGGTGCAAGGTTCGAACCCACCAGCTGCTCCACAGGAGAAAAATAGCCAGCCTCCTCTTGTGCAATAAACTGCCCCTGAAACCCCACTGTAGGGTCAGATAGGAGTCGCTTCCAACTCCACAGTACATAACAACACAGTCTTACCACTGAACAATGTGGGATTTGTAATTGACATGCAAAACAAAATCTGTGTGATCCAATGAATGGAAACAAATCTATGTAATCAGGTTAGGGAACTAGAGATGTTCACAAATGGACAAAAGGCCTCGTTTCACAGTGAGGAAGAAGAGGCCAGGGAATTAGCAGTCAGGCATCCCCATAGTCAAACATGTCACTCAAGGATAGTAAACCCCACAACCCCTGCTCGCAGAAGAACCTTTGTGACTGGAAAAGCTTTGGAGCAATAGCGTCTGGTGTGTGTCACCGCCACTGTTCACCATGCATGCTGGTTAGGTGGTGTGGAATTGGTTTTAACCAACACATGTCAGAGACCAGAACTATGTGTCACAGGATGCCCCAAGTTGTCCTCCCTTGGGAGCCAATCACTAGGACATTCTCCCGCAGAGCTGAAGACACTGGATGGGTTCAAAGCCCTAAGCTTTCAATTCGCAGCCAGCACTGAACTATTGTGCCATCATACTTCTTGCTATAAGAACTTAAGAGCTCTTAGGCATTGAGTGTCCTTTATGGCCTGGCTCTCACCACCAGGCCAGTTGGCAGCATGATGATGGATGGAGAAGAGATTGAGATTATTTACAATTTCAGCTTGCTTGGCTCCACAATCAACACTCTTGGCACCAGCAGTCAGGAAATCAAAAGATGGATGGCATGAGGAAAATCTGTTGTCAGGGATCTCTCCAGAGGACTGCAGAGCAATGGTGTCAGTCAAGAGACTAAGGTGCTCCTGATCCAGGCCATGGTCTTCGCAATTATTTGTTTCACCTCAGAGAGCTGGACAATGACAAAGGACGATAGAAGAATAATCTATGCCTTTGAGGTGTGGTGCTGGAGAAGGGTGTTGAAAATATCATGGATTGCCAAGAGAATGAACAGATTTATCGTGGAGAGGCTGAGACTAAGCTGCTCCTTGGAGGCAAGGATTTTGCACCTCCACCTCATCATGTCATATCCATCATATTTGGGGCATGTAGCCAGGAGGAATCAGTCTTTGTAGAAGGATATCATGCTTGGAAGGAGTGAGGGACTGTGCAAGAGAAGAAGATGCTGGATGATATGGACTGACATAATAACTGGGGTGATAAGAGTAGATGTGTCAGAGACAGGGTGATTGGCTCAGGATAGGGCAGGGTTCAGAGCTACTGGTGTAGGGTTACTATGAGTCATAGTCAACCCATCGGCACATAACAACAACAATGGTCCAGACACAGTCTAGGTACCTCGTGTCTGGTCTTCCTTAGCCATTCCAGCAACTATATGGAATTAGTATAATTGACTGTAATTGAGATGAAGACATGAAGAATCAGAGAGGTTCATTGTCTCCCTAATACTGGACAGTCTGTTTTATTCCAACACTCCTGATCTTTCTGGTAAGCCTTGACAATCCCTAACTATGCAGTGTACCCTTTTCCATCAATGGTTGCACGAGTACAACCTTCTCGGTCTTGGGTGTAGCTTCCTTTGTCCATGTTGATGTCTTGTCCTACAGCACTGTTCACAGGTATTTGACTTCATCACAGACAGAACGCCTCAGTTTGTCATCTGATTCTATGATTATTTCCATCCTGTTTCTCTTCAGACAGACAAATCCTTGAACGCTTCATTCGTTCTCATGGCTTTGACCAGAAGAAGATGGAGGGAAAAGATAACGGAGCACATGAAGCCCCCTGATGAGTTGCAGAAGCACTAGAACCTGCCTGGACGTCACAGAAAAAGAGGGTCAGGTTCCTCCAACGATGTGATGAGATTCATGTGTTCAGTGTGTGTTAGCACATTTAATTTTGTAAAAATATATACCATTTCTATTTGGTAGTGGTTGTTGTGACTGTCAGCACGCACCACCAGGGAGTGGTCTGCATCTCATAGTGACCCCACTGGACAGAATTTCTCCAGACAGTTTCTGTTTTATATTGAATCCTGACCATAATAATTTATAGGAGAAAAACCACAAAAAAAGATCCAGGTCAAAATGTCCCAAATATTCCAGTTGTTGCCATGCCATCAGAGACACAAGGCAAGGAGGGGAGGGAGGGTGGGAGGGAGAGAGCGCGCGAGCGAGCGCGCCACCCCACCCCAAGCCCAGGATGTAGTCTTCTTTCCTGAAACACTGGGGCATCACTGTCTCCTGGGGCTGATTTGGGTCACATCCTTTTAGTAGGTGGTGTCTCAGGATCTCTCGAGATGATGTTGTTGTAGTTATTAGTTGCCATCAAGTCAAATAAGACTCATAGCGATCCTGTGAAGAGCCAAGCTGAACCCTGTTTCGTCCTCTTCATATCTGACACACAAGAGCCCGTTGCTGAAGTCGCCGTGTCAGTCTATCTCATTGGAGGTCTTCCTCTCCTTCACTGACACTTCATCTTTCCAATCATGATATCCACCTCCAAGAAACAGCCTCAACTAGCAACATGCCCAAAGCATGAAAGACAAAGCTCCGCCATGCTTGCCTCCAAGGAGCACTCTGGCTGTACTTTTCCAAGACAGATCTATTTGTTCTTTTGGAAGTCCATGGAATATTCAGCACTGTTCTCCAACACCACAGCTCAAACGCATCAATTCTTCTTGTGGTCCTTATTCATAGTCTACCTCACTGATGCATAATATTTAATTGAGAAGACCATGGCCTGAATCTGGTGCACCTTAGCCTTCAAATGTACAACATTGCTCCTTCAGAATTGTGGAGATGTCCCTGACAGCAGGCTTTCTCAACACAATACATCTCCTGATTTCATGACCACTGGTACCAAGGGTGTGGATTGTCCATCCAAGCAAGATGATATGATTGACAGTTTCTATACTCTCTCAACTATCATTATGCTGACTGTTGGTCCTGTTGTTATGTGCCGTTGAGTCAACTCCAACTCATAGCTACCCTATGTAACACAGCTCTGAACCCTGCTCTATCCTGAGCCAATATGATCATCTCTGACACTCCTACCCCCATTACCCCAGTCACTGAGTCAATCCGTCTCATCCAGGGTTTTCCTCTCTTATACTATCCTTCCACCCTTCCTAGCATGACATCCCTCTCCAGGGGCTGGTCCCTCCTTGCAACATGCTCAAACTATGTCAGATGGGTCTTCAGAATCTGTGCCCTCAAGGAACAGCGTGGTTTCACCCTCTCCAGGACAGACCTGTTTATTCTCCACGACATACCCAATACTCTTCTTGCGCACCACAACTCAAAGGCGTCAATTCTTCTTCTGTGATCCTTATTCATCCTCCAGCTCTTTGATGCATAGCAAGAAATTGTGAAGACCATGGCCTGGATGAGGAGCACCTTAACCTCTGGATTGACACCATTGCTCTTCAGTACTCTGGAGAGGTGCCAGACAGCAGATTTTCCCAATGCTATTCATCTTTAGATTTTTCTGGCTGCTGGTACCAAGAGTGTTGTTTGTGGAGCTGAGCAGGGTGAAATTGCTAACAAACTCAATCTCTTCTCTATCATGATGCTACCAATTGGATCAGTGGTGAGAATCTTTGTTTTCTTAATGATGAATTTTAATTCATATTGAAGGCTACAGTTCTTGACCTTGTGCAGCAAATGCCTCCAGTCCTCCTCAGTTTCAGGCAAACAAAGTTGTGTCATCTGCATAACGCAGGTTGCTGATGACTCTTCCACTAATCCTGATGCCACATTACTCTTCATAGAGCCCAGCCTCCCAGATGATCTGTTCCACATATAGATTGAAAAGGTATAGAGATAGGATTGGCATACACCTTTCTGGCTTTGGAATCATGCAGTGTTTCCTTGAATGAGCACAATCAAGTATTCTGGGGTTCCCATTCTTTTCAGAGTCCCTCCTGAATTTAAAGACAAAGACAGGAACCGGTTTGAGGCTTTGACAACTAATGAGTGAAGACCAGATGGAGGATATCAAGAATATCATCCATGAAGAATGCAAAAGGTCATCACAAAGACAGATGAAGAAGAAGAAAAGACCAAAATGGATATCAGATGAGACTCTGAATATTGCACTAGAGCCCCGAGAAGCCAAAACAAAGGGAAGTAATGAAGATGTGAAGGAGCTGAACAGAATGTCTAAGGATAGCTTGGGAAAACAAAGCAAAGTATTATAATGAAATGTGAAAAGAGCTGACTTTGGATAATAAAAATGGATAAAGTCACTCAACATTTCTTAAGCTGAAGGAACTAAACAACAGATTCCGACTTTCACAAGTTTTACAGCATCCACTAAACAAATAAACAACAACAAACCTCTGCCAGCAACTTGACTCTAACTCATAGAAAGCTTGTAGGACAAAGCAGATCTGTCCCACAGTCTTTCCAAGACTGTAAAGCTTTGTGGGAGGAGACCGCCTCGTTTCTCCTGAGGAGTGCCCGAAACTCCCGTTACCCATGGTGGGAGTTGTTGTTGTGTGTCACTGATTCAGAACCTAATCATAATTGACCCTCTAGCGGGTTTTCATAGTCTGTAAATCACATAGGAAGATTGTCCCTTTCTCCTGCGGAATAGGTGGTGGATTCAAACTGTGTGCCTTTGGAAGCACAGCTTTTCACCACTAGACCGCCCAAGTTCCCTTAAGTGCAATGAGTTGTTGATACAGAACCAACCCATAGCTGACCCCTCGCAGGTTTTCAGAGGCTGTAAATCACATGAGAAGAGATTGTCGCTCTTTCTCACTTGCAGAAGCTGGTATACTTGAACAGCTTGCCTTTGGGTTGGCAAAGAAAATCCCACTAGGCCACTGCAGTCTACTTCTGAAAAGATTACGACCTTGGAAGGCTTATGGAAGCAGTTCTATTCTGTCTTCTAGAGGCTTCTACATGCTTGTGTCCCAGGAACCTGAGGGCAGGTGAGAAGAGTACAGGGAAGAGAGGGAGGGAGAATGGGAGGGGCAGGGGCAAGGAGTAGAAGAGTGAGGTAGAAAAGGAAGCAAAGGAGGAAGGACTCCTGCCTGAAGATCCATTTATATAGCAGAGGTAGGCCACGCCCTCCAAGGAAACTCCTCTCAACGGATTGACTGCTCCTTACATCATGGAAAGTAATTATCCTATATCACATGGTAGAAAAAATACCCAGTCCAATGTCTGCCAAACCAGAGAGCTGAGTCCAGCTGACACTTGACATTGATCACCACAGCTATGGTTTGAAAACTGCATGTTCTGGCCCTTGAAATCAATTTTGTGAATAATCACTACAACCAAACAGAAGAGAAGGAAATAGAATAAAGTAGAAAATAACAAACCATGCAGCATGTATTAAAAGTAAATAATGTTTTGGGGAGGGAGAAAAATGCAACAATGGAATGGAAATCCAAAAAACACTTATTAAATTTAAAAAACAAATTAAAAATCGTAAATAATGTTTCCTAAAACTTTCTAGCAGATTGTGCGCGTGTGTGTGTGTGTGAATGTCTCTGCAGAGAGAAAAGAGCTAACAAGCTCGGCTTCTAATCACAAGGTGCCTTGAAAGAAAGGCCTAGAGATTCACTCCTGAAAACTCAGGCACCGTAAACCCGACAAACTGAAGATCCACTTTGACACCTGTGAACTCACCATAGATCAAAATCAGCAACTTTCTAAATATATACTTTGGGCATGTTGCAAAGTGAGACCAGTACTTGGAGAGGGACCTCATGCTTGGGAATGTGGAGGGACAGAGCAGAAGAGAAAGACCTGAGATGAGATTAGTTAACTCAGTGACTTGGGCAATGGGGGTGGGTGTGTCAGAGACAATGAGATTGACTCGGGATAGAGCAGCATTCAGAGCTGTTGTACATGGTGTTGCTATGAGTTGCAAGTGACTTGATGGCACATAAAGACAACATATCACAACAAGAATGTACATAGGGCCGCCTGTTATTTTGGAAGTGGATGGCCAATCCTCCCTAGCCTGTCTTAATTGGGGTGCTCAGCTTTAGAACACTATTTGATAGACAAGCATTTTACCCCAAAAGAGCTGAAGAGAGTATGCGGGTAACAGAGCAGGTGTTGGTACTGGGACCCACCTGTTAGCACAGATGTCCTGTTTCCAACCCCCCTAACACCTTGCCAGCATCCAGCTCAGTTCCCTCCTCTTGCCCCTCCAACACCAGCCGTCCTTTGCCCCAAGCCAACTCTGGTTTGATCTCTCAGGCCTCCTATCACCTTTGTCTTCCCATTTCCTCTCCACTCCCCTGTGATACTGGTACTCCTGGGGCCTGGGCAACAGATTCCACAAGGCAGGGCAGAATCCACACAGAAGTTGGTAACAATCTCCTAGCCTTGCAGTGATCGGGCGGAGCTCTCCAGGCCTTCCATATTTATTCCCATTCAAAAAGGAAAAAAAAAGTGATTCAAAAGCACATGGAAATTATTGAACAATAACATTAATACCACATGAAAGCAAGATCCTGCTGGATTAGCCAAAAACAACTGCAACAGTACATCAACAGGGAGCTGCCAGATGTGTAAGCTGGATTTAGAAGAGGCCATGGCACTGGAGACATTATATCCAACTTTAGATAAATCTTAGCTGAAAGAAGAGAGTACCGAAGAATGTCTATCTTTATCTCACTGACTGCGCAAATGCATTTGACTGTGTGGAACACAAAAATAGTGTAGCTAACTTGGAAGAGACTAGGAATCCCAGAACACTTGTTTGTGCTTATGCAAAACTTATATACACAGACCAGGAGACAGTCATCAGAACAGAGAAGAGAAA